CCTCCGTTTTCAGTGTGCGAATCGTGGAAAATTTCATAAGTATTTTGTGCCTGCTAGTATTGCAACGGCATTGTATGAGTCCTAGCATATTTCAGTAATGAGTGCCCGCACCTAAAATCGCTTAATATTATTTACTGTCGTTTTCAGAGCAACGGAAGTTAGCTCCGCTGGCATTACGACTATATGATCTGTTCAAACGATATGGAGTCAGCCTACAAGATGACGAGAAATTGCGCCTATGGGGACTGATAGGAGAACACGAACTACTGGCAACATAAAATTTTCCAGTGTTCTCATAACGAAAATGAAGAAATATAACGGAAACTGGGTAGGAACTCCTATTAGGTCGGCGTCAAGTTCTGGGATACCAATTCGACCGACTCTGCCCTTTTATTGACACCTGTTTCTAGAGAGGGAGTCACTAGCCGAAGGATATGAACAAGCTGATGTGCACTTCTGCGGTGAGTGTGCTGCAAACTTCAAACCACCAACTTTGCTGCGTGATCTCCCACACCGTTGCAGCCAGTGGCGCACGTTCCTCTGCCTGCGCCAAAGGCAGGAAGTCCTCCAATGGACAGTCAATCTTCTGGTGCTCGCTTTGAAGGAGGAATCTGTGATAAGGACGAAGGTCGAGGAAGGGGAAGCTTGCCCAGTGGAGGCAGGGGAACCTCCTAAAGAAGCGGACCGACACGTAACTCTTATCGAATGATATGCCCGCGGCACCGTTGGTCGCGATACGCCGCCTCTCGCGTATTCTCGAGTCTGAGTCTAGCCGTTTAGCGGAGGAGAGAGAGCGTTAGCGTTGAAGAGGGCAGCACCGATGAGAGTCGCATCAATGCGCAAATCAACGGGCAAGGAAGGGGTCCCATTTCTCGGGTTCTAGGCCATTTTCGGTTTCCTTTCTTCCGTAGATCACAATCTCTTAGTTATATTCCAATAGGCTGCCCTTTCATCATAACATCCGCCTTTGATGCTGGAGCAGTGGAGATCGCGGACAGCCCTCAGCAGGGTGAATATCGGTCGAGGATTCCTCAACGGCACGTCGAGGATTTTCGCCTGATCAGTTACGCTCTCCCGCGCGGACATTCACACTCGCCATGCGCGAGCCGTCTGTGCTCTCCGCGCGTATGTTCACTCTCGGCACTACTCTCGCACAGTGCAGAGCCATGGTCGAGGAATTCCTCGTGCTCAGAGAGCAGCAGCTGCCTCAGCTAAGCTCTTCAACTGAGTCCACCTGACCGACGTCGTTCAACACCTCCAAGAAACTGAGTTTCATGAAGCGTTCGATCGGCATATCTGGAGATGGCGGACCGCCAACTCCGCCACACGAGCGTCTCATCTGCCATTTACTCCTCCTTACCTTAAAAAGTACTAAAGGATTTTATAACGTGGATCGGGAATTGGATCTCCCCGGAACACTATAGGGTCCCTAGCGGTCTCCTGCGAGGGCATTGTATTGTGCTAGTGGAAGCAGATTTTGAAACATCTTCATGCATGAAAGGTATCAAAATATTAATGAAGATAGGTACCACATGTGCGGATCCAGTCAACCTGCATTTGCCGTACAGCTTCCGCGTTTCCATTAAACTTTGTATGCTTGAGGCATAATTCCGCAAATTGCCGTATGAATTCTTCATCGACCTGCAATTGAAAACATGAAGCAAGCTCGTTTTGTTGGAGGAAAATTTCTCACCAACCATCTTTGCCTTGAACGAATTCATAAATCGCATGGCCATGACGCAATCAAGTGGATCGATTTCCTCCTGGAAAAAAAAACATGAAAAGAAAAGATAGAATAGAAATTATGCAAGGCGCTCGAATGTCAGGGCGCACGTCAATGTGTGAAAGAAACTGTCAAAGGATCACACGTTCAGAAGAATAAAAACCTTATGTTCTTCCAGGAATGTGGCAGCTTCCTCATAGTATCGCTTCGCAACAAGCACAGCTGCGTAGAGACAGTGAACGCGAGACTGATGCAAGAAGTTCTGTGCTTTGTGCAACACTAAAAAAATACAATAGCAGTAAATCAATCTCCGTGAGGGTATACTTGAAAGATTTCCATGGAGGATCAAATTTTGCTTGATGAATGAACATTTCTGTATTGGAAGAGGGATTCGGGATGGAAAGGATGGCTCATTCGGGGTAGTCTGACGTTTCGTTGAATAGAGTAAATAGAGTTTTTGTCATTACTCTCCACCAACCAGGATTTTTGTAAAAGTCATGAACATACGGTATAACAGCGTTTAACGGCCGCTCAATACCTCATGCAAAATTCGCTGAGGCTTGGGAAAATGCACTGCTACTCGTTAATGGCTATTCCATAATCATATTCCATACTTCATAGCGCAAGAGAAACGCGATGATAGAATTTTGGATCGGAAGAAAGAACTGAACTCGATCATAAAAGATGTAGGCGAAACAACGATGCTAATAATTCTGGTGCGATAAAAAAGGCACTCGAAGTATTTGTTTTTATTCGGAGAAGTCCTATTGATCGTGATATTTGCTACACGGCTTTTGTAAACATTTTAAGAATAGATCGGCCCAGATACCAGAGGTGCGGCAGTCAAAGGCCTCTCTAAGCTGATCGTCCGGCCGAAGTTTTTTTCTTCCACGGAGATTTAGAGATGATCGAAAACCAACAATAGGATAAGGTCAGGTAGGGCTCAAAGGCTTGTGGGATCATCGGCAAGCTCAAACCGAGTCGCGGACTGGAGCAGAGATGAATTTTAACGATCACAGACGTCGAACCAGGCCAAGCTGGAGCAAGTATGGTCGACTGGTTCCCTCTGAGCCCCTACGACCCTGATTCCTTCCTGAAATATGACTACTTACTCAACCACCTACAGCGCGATCTGCACAGAAAAATTTTTTAGATGGAAAGTGCGGTCAAGAAAATCGACTTTCTGAGGCTCCATAACCCGTCATGTTTAGAAAAGCTAAAGCAGTCAGCTTTCATTGGTCAAACCCAGTTTGGGATGCGCCATGCATTCCACTAACATTCGCAATCGTATTGGCAATTTGTATGCGATCTGGCCTGTTCCTTGGCTTGCGGTAGCCAGCTGGTGCACGCGTCAGTTTTTATCCTCCCACATAGATTCAGAACCAATAGTTCAATCCCACCGTTATGGAAGGCTTAGTCGATCAAAGATCCAAACCCTGGACCATCCGCGTAGTAAGCAGCGCTACTTGCCCCCGCTTTACTTCCGCCCTTGCTGAAAAGGGAGTCCCAAACAGGCCAAGTGTAAACATCCAGTAGTTGGCGGTTCCTAGGCCCGGTCTGTTTCTGAGGGTTTCGTTATGAAGCTTTACAAATTAGGTCAGGCCAGCGAGATTCCTCGTTAACATAATATGTGTACACGATTATAAGGAGTGGAGTAACCATTGCAACAGTTTCTTGATGTTCCTTTAGGAAAGCTTACGATTTCAGCTGACAAAACCCAACAATATTTGAAAAAAAAACAGAAGAGAGAAACGTGGCGATTCTCGGTCATAATTACTACACTTTAATATCAATGAATTGACTGACCATACTGTATATTACGCTTTTGGTTATCGGACTTCTGGCCCAAGCAATAAAGCAACAACGCAACGATGCCATTCGAGCAATACAATCCAGATTGAAATTTCATCCATGTATTGACCGCCTCTTCCCAGCCCAACCTGAACAAGAGCATAACGGAATTCTCGTGAGGGCGCCAATGTGCAGTTCGTCAAGAAGTACTAATGCCGTGCTCAAAACTATCGAGCTTAGTTCAATAAAAATACAAATAATCCAGGAAGCACTAACTTTCTCAGAACATTGCCAATAAACACGCATGTGAGAGTCTCATTTGGATGTAGCTGAAGAATTTCTAGCTTGATCAGAGTTCGCAAAAGATCAATGCACTCATCAATTTTTTCGACCGACGGGTTTGGCAGTCTCTGAAAAAAAAACATTGTTATGCCTGTGTTCCCCACAAAAACCAACAACATCTTGCCCATCTTAAATACACAATATGTGGCTGAAACACTTTCAAAACTTCGAGTCCATGTAAAAAGTAGATGCAATTCCAAACTACTTTATTAAAGGCAAAGTTTGCGCTCAGACCCACTTAATGAGGTTTTAGGATGGCTAGAAGCGCTAGGTACGGGGAGTGTAGAGAGGGTGTGGGTACTTAGGACAGAACGCGACTTTTTCGCTCTTCGCAACGCGACATCGCGCGGCAGGCTGGCGCACCCGTAGCGAAAACAACTACGGTATATAAGAACGCGCGATTGGAGCAGCTTTTTTGCATGCGTGAATTTGTAAGTTTCTGATTCCTTACTTGCCCGCGCTCACACCCATTGTATTGATAAATGCGGTGAATCACTAATTCTGTCTCATTATTGAAAACGTTTTGTGACTTACACGATTCCGGGCGATGCCACACAAATGGTGTTTTACGAATTATCGGTGAACGAGGGTTTAATAGGGCCGCTTGTGCTTGCATTTTGTGGGTTCATATTGTTGTATAGACTTCTGCATAAGGGTATAACATCTTTTACGAAACGCTTCTGTCCTCATTACGGATATGATACTCATTTTGGACGCTGGCGCCATTTGGGGCCAGGTGGCGCCACAACTGTTTCCCACTAAATTCGTTTTAAACTTTTGTATAGGGGTTATTCGGGGTCCTGATTTGTTCTTAGCGCTATTCGGCGCCTGCATCCTGCTCGTCTGCGCCCTCGCACTAATTAGATCGCAGTAGGACTAAGCCTTTGAGTAGTGTAGGGCTCCAAAGTGGGTAGGCCATTCCCCTGTGGTGTGACACACTCCAACTTTTGCCACACGGTGCGTGGTTTACCCACTCCGGAGTTTCACTCCCCTCCCCTAATGCTTAGTCGTAGGCGCTGTAGGTGAGAAAGCTTAGTAAAGCAGAAAGTATGCGTTAAACAGCACGAATGTGAAAAATGAGTGTCATATTCATGATCAGGGCCCCAAATAACCCCTATGCAGAAGTTTACAGTCGTCTCATCAAACGTCCATCAACCATTCCTCTTCCAGGTTCTCCAGAAGCTCTACCATCCATCTCTGCAAAAATAACCTACCTCCCTCTTCACTGCTAGTTAGCGGTCCACTTCTGGTTACCATTTCCTCGTTCATTATCAAATCCATGGCTATTAAGCTTCAAACTCCTTGTCGCAATCAAAGCCGACACAAATATCGCGCTCCAATCGCGCGTTCTTATATACCGTAGTTGTTTTCGCTACGGGTGCGCCAGCCTGCCGCGCGATGTCGCGTTGCGAAGAGCGAAAAAGTCGCGTTCTGTCCTAAGTACCCCACACCCGGTGTAGAGTCGCGTCACTTCCCTACTTCGAAAACCGTTACTTAGACGCTAGGCGCTAAGAACTTTGACACGCTCCACCTGCTGCGACACGCTCCGCCCACCGCTCGATATTTTGTCTGCGTCGGAATGTTGATCTGTCATGCTCTCCTCAACCAGAGTCAACCCTGCGTTGCGCAGTTCGCAACGGCACGTTGAGAGATCCTCAACGCACGCTGTATGGGCGGAGACACAGACGGCTCGAGCATGCGAGTGTGAATGTTCGCGCGAGAGAACGTGTCTAATCGGGCGAAACTGCGCAACGTGGCCGTTGAGAACTGCGCAACGCAGGGTTGACTCTGCTGTGCTCCGACCTGTACTTCTCAACGCTCTCCGCGCTCACATTATCTCTCATCTCCCTGCCGGCCTTTTGAACTTCTCCGCAGCGTAGAGCAAAAGGCTCGTATTTCCTGTGCATTTCACGATTTTTTTTTCTTTTTTCTCCACTGGCGGTCCACTTCCTACCCCTACTTTCACATTTGAGTGGAATTACCTCATAATTTAATCCTGAATCTTGCCTTTAACTCACCATCACGCCAACATTTGCGGGAACATGGACCGTATAAAAAATACCACCGACAGTTCTACGAGGTATGGTCTTGGCAAGCACTGTGCATAAATATCATTTTATTGAACCCCCATCCCCAGCCACTGGTGAAGGCGCACTTGTTTTGAGAAAGATCTAATGCAAATACGAAAGAACCTTGCGGCCATAAAGTATCTGGAGAAGGCACTGGCAGCTTGATGCTTAGCCATGCTGAAAAAAAGTGCCATCAGACGATTTCTGCGTAAACGGTTTCCTGCACAAGTTATTGAGGATGTCTCTTAATACTCACCCGAAGCATTTCCCAAACAATCGGTTGTATTCATGCATGGTGTTGAAAAAAGTGTTCATAGGTAGCGACAGCTGCAAAATAGATATATTGCCTTGAGAAATTCAAATCAAAACCATTTCTGGCAACCAAGATGAGTCAATGCTTTGATTTCTGATAAAACATATGAGGTACTCTGAAACGTGAGCATGACTGCGTCCTAATGATATTAAAGATAAAAGTGAGAAGAGGACTGTGAAAGGGAAGAAAGGGGTAGAAGACGAATACGGCCTGTTCATACTTGTTTGCGAAACCAACGTTCACTTTGCCAACTTTCCGGCAGTTTCCACCTGATTTCGCAGCCGAATCCACGGATTCTCAGCAAATCGCTGGATTCGCAATGACTGACACCGGCTAATTGTAAGAGTAAGGACCGCTGTGACGACATTAATAATGGTACCGAGGGATGCGTTCAGTCGGGTATTTGTTGTAGAAAGGCAAGCTACGCTTGTGGAGGAGATTCCCTTCGCAAAGCAAGAGAAACGTATCCGTGTGATATCCGAGCAGCTCACAGCAGTTAATAGCTCACTATACATCATAAGGCCGCAGCTACCAGGGGAGCCTGATTAAATATATATGTGGCAGCAAACCTTAGCTACTCCCTTACCCCGATGCAACGCATAGTTCCGAATAAATCTATGCGTCTGGAGAAACAGCCTCACCTCCAGTTTCTTAGTAATTTGATTTTTAAACGATTTATCGCCCGAATAATTTGGTGAAATTCTGAGTTAATCGTCTAACTCAAATTCCTCGAGCATTCTTCAAATCAAAAAAAAAATTCCGGTTATATAACTTCCATCCCAGAGATAACAGAATCAAGTTCTGTCTCTTCCCAGAGACAACCTGTGTCGAATTTTGCTGCAAACGGCCGCAGTGTTAGAGAGATATATGGCAACCAGGTCCACTTCCTTTAGAGCGCCAAGTCCACTTCACTTACAAAACACACGCTAATAGTACCATCTCGCAGAATCAACGCCCGCTGTGCATTTCAAAACGCCGCGCGCCTCTATGAATCAAGGTGTGTAATTCCTCCGAAATACACACCCAGTGCTCAGAGTCTGTGTGTAAATTTTGATCCTATGTTGCGCTGAGTACAAAACGCGAGCGTTCCTTACAAAACTTGTGTATTGATAAGGCACCTAAGTTCTAGTGAATGAAAATGGAAAAAAGGACAGCGCTAAGATTTGCGCGACTCTCGAACTGCGTCCACTTGATGGTGGGCTACTCTATTAAACGAAGATACGAACAAGCCCTTTCCTAATCCCTGAAACTACAAAACAGCCTGAAAAAATCTGCGTGGCAGAATCTGCTTGCACACGCCCCTCCAGGGAACAGCCTACGCAATTCAAATGCGTAGCTGATGAGTTTCCGTAGGGAAATCTCATCGCCTTCATTTGCACGTCTTCGCAAAATTTGCAGCAAGTGATAGTTCTGCACCGGACAATAGGACGGATCGTTTTCTTTTTGCCACTTCCCTGACTGAGCCGAACTGAAACAAAAAGACATCGTTCGTTCTGTAGCTTTGAATCAATGGTGCTCAGAAAATATAAGAACATACAGAGATTTGAGCATCTTTTTCACATTTCCCCACTCCTCGTGGTCCAGGTACAATCCTAACACGTCGGGAACAATTTCTTCATAGTTCGTATCCTCTGGCCAGCCATAAGAAGACAAAAACGCATGAACTTTCGAAGAGTCCTGAAAAAGAATTTTGCTTGACCTATCAACTGATTTGTACAACAACCAGAGCCAATGGTGCCTGAGAAACTCGAGACACATACTCTTTCATCAGCGAAATCTCTTCAATCTTTCATAAGTGACTCGAATTGGAGGCGATTTCGCCTTACTCTTCTTCTCAACTTCGAATGTGGCTGTGTAGTGTTGACGCAGCCATCTGACATATAAATGCATCCAGAAAATAGTAATTTTTTAGGGACATGCAGACGTACCCTTGTAGTTCCCTTGCGTACGGTCGTGGAGCATATTCCAGACTCGCCATTCGCTTCTCGCGAGCACTGCGATCTTGCCACCATGCATACATCGTCTGCCAAATTGAGTCGTTGCCAACACCGAAGCTCCGCAGGATTCTTGCCATTTTGTCCAGTTTCGTTTGGTCTCCGCGTGAGGATATTCGTTGTTTATCTATAAAAAAAACCGATAAAATCTTACTGCCAGTTCTAGACATCCAAATTTGACGCATAAATATTTTGCGAGCTCATACCATAAAGTGGCTGTAGAACGAGATGCGTCAATACAGAGATATCTAACTGCGAAAGGTCCTTGTACCCGGCATTGCAACAACGGAATATAAGTTTGAGCCTCTCGTCCACATCCTCAGCGCTATAATTGGTAAGATGATTTGAAACTACAAAAGCGTCCGCTAGAAAAAACCTTCTAACGTAAGCAGTTGCGCTGCAACTTCAAAAAGGTCAGAGTACAAACCTTGCGAGAAGGGGAAGCATTATATGAGGACGGGTGCGATCTCTATCGACCATGTCCAATAGTGCATTTACATATTCCATCCTTTTATCTATACTAAAGTCTTTGTACATAACGACGGCGAGAAACAAGTCATCGTGTATTCGCGGCCTGAAAAAGGAAGCCAAATAAGCCGTGCAGCTTACAGAACTCAGGAGAAAGGAACCTATACTATCTCTATCACCTGTCTATTCCATTAAAGACAGGTGGTACAGCACTTGGAAGTCAAATGGAGGCAGGTCCCGAGAGCAGGACGAATGGCGTTCTGCTGTGAACAGTGCGCCCGTAGAGACCTAAGGTCACCTTTAATCGCCCAAATCATTCGCGCGATTCGGGCTTGAGAATCGTGCACTCAATAATTTCCTCTATGGTGCACCGCTTCCTGACAAAGTTTCGCCCTTAGTGAGAGCTTGCGACAGTTTCTATGACTGTCGCGCGCTGTGGCCTGCTGTCGGGTGACTTCGCCAGGGAGAAGTACTTGATCAAAAAATAATGGGACTCTCAAGGACACTCCGACGTCGCGAACTGTCGCCTACTGTCGATGAGGTCGACTATAGTATGGAGCTGCACTGATGACGAGCTACTCAATCACGGGACTGGGCCGTCAACTTTAAACGCGACCTAGCAAGGCCTTGCTCGACAGCGATAACTTCCCTTCGCGGCCTCCACGTCCACAGATGAGCTAGCTCAGCTCCTGGTGCCTCGTGCCAGACTCTAGCTGTTTTAGAGCAGGTAGAGCAGAACATTGCCGTTGATGAAGCCAGCATTGATGAGACTGTCCTGCGCGGCAATTAACGGAGAAAACAGGGGTCCTGTTTTTCATATTTTGACCGCATTCCTTGGACCTGCGGCTTGACGCGACTAGACAAGGTTAGAACGAGGGTGTCAGAGTGGTCAAGCAGGCTGCCCCAGTCCACTTGAAGGTACGGGAACAGCGTCTGCGATGGTGGTATGGGCATGTGCTAAGGAGGCCACAGGATTTCCGATAGAAAAGTTATCGGAAATCCTGTGGTTTGCTTAGAGGTGTCCATACCACCATCGCAGACGCTGTCCCCATACCTTCAAGTGGACTGGGGCAGCCTGCTTGACCACTCTGACACCCTCGTTCTAACCTTGTCTAGTCGCGTCAAGCCGCAGGTCCAAGGAATGCGGTCAAAATATGAAAAACAGGACCCTGTTTTCTCCGTTAATTGCCGCGCAGGACAGTCTCATCAATGCTGGCTTCATCAACGGCAATGTTCTGCTCTACCTGCTCGAAAACAGCTAGAGTCTGGCACGAGGCACCAGGAGCTGAGCTAGCTCATCTGTGGACGTGGAAGACCGCGAGGAGAGTTATCGCTGTCGAGCAAGGCCTTGCAAGGTCGCGTTTCAAGTTGA